TGTTTGGTAAAACTATGGATCCGGACTATGAATATAAGTTCTCATATATATGAAAAATTTTAAGTAATACAAATTGGTAGACAATTGAATTTTTATGGTTAATTAATATTAAATAACAATATTTTAGCTTTAGCTTGCTAATTCAATTAGCAGAATGACGTTATAAATAAAATGAAATATATTTATTTGGTTTAGAATAACTAAAAAAAATTAAAAACAATGATTTCAAATCAACTATAACAAAAATGCTTAATTTTTAGAGTTATTAAGTCCAAGCCTAAGGTGTCCCACATATATGGGCGGTCCACTANCATCAATTCCTATCCTGCCAGTGTCAAAAATTGGATCCAGTTCAGCTAGTCAGCTGAGTAACATGATTTTGTTAAGTCATAACATAGGAACGCAGGGAACTATCTATAATAGAAGTCAAAACTAAAACTGGACCCACTAGCTTAAACTTCTAAAATCCATGTGAAGTTACATGCAAATCAAAGAGGACAAAGGTTGAACCCACATAAAACAACCATATCAATGGTCCCATCAAGCAGAATGGACTGGAGCTGACAAAATGGAAGAACAAAGGACAGTTAGAAGCATACTAACCGTGAACATCTTTGAGTCTGGATCCCAATGTGAGAAGAACTTGGGAGTGGATTTGTCAATCTCTGTGCTAGGAACCTGAGACATAAATTAAACAATAAGAAATAGCCAATATTTCCACAAGATGAAAAGATCAGAAGCATGCAAGAAGATGGTTGATTTACCTTAAAAGCTACGATCTCATATGGTTCTGCTGCAAACAGAAGATACTGAAATCTCTTATCAAATGGTTGAACTCTCTGTGTAATAATAAAAAAAGATTAGTACACGATCTTGTGTAAGCAGAGGTGGAGGATAATTAGAACTTTTTATTAGTCTACATGGAGTGCAATAAAATTCGGAAAGGAAAAGATTATAAATATAGAATATCATGAAAAAGGCATTAGGCTCCGAACTTGAATAAAATATGGACCCTACCTGCTCAAAAGATGACATAAATCGATGCCTTGGTTTTGATAGATCTTCTATTTCAGGATACTCAATCTGCAGCGAAACCAAATTATCATTACCTAGAAGTAGAATAAATGATGCATTACAGCATTGAAGAGCAATCGATTAAAACAGTTAAGGGTGCATTTGGGAGGCAGGACTGGACTATTTTTTGTGATTGGAATTGGACTGGACTACCTATACTTCTATCTCTTGTTTGGTAAAACTATGGATCCGGACTATGAATATAAGTTCTCATATATATAAAAAAACTTTAAGTAATATAAATTGGTAGACAATTGAATTTTTATAGTTAATTAATATTAAATAACAATATTTTAGCTTTTGTTTGCTAATTCAATTAGCAGAATGATGTTATAAATAAAATGAAATATATTTATTTGGTTTAGAATAACTAAAAAAAATTAAAAACAATGATTTCAAGTCAACTATAACAAAAATGCTTAATTTTTAGAGTTATTAAGTCCAATCCTAAGGTGTCCCACATATGGCGGTCCAATACCATAGTATTAATTTTTGGATTTGGTACTATTAGTCCAATCGCTTAAAATGCCACAAAACATGGGGCCAACACAAAAATCACTTAAAACAGTCCAATCCAACTTTGTCCCGATCCCAAACTCAACTAAAAGACAATACAGTTTCTTATAAAAGATGAAAAAAGAATTATCATGCACCTGAAAAAGGAGAGATCTCTGCTTCGTCTCTGGATCAAATTGCTTTGTCACACGATACCCAGGCCTACCAATTTTTACTGCATGATCACCACATATATACATATTAGTTTGTATATTCAAGAAAAATATTTCTAAAGTCATGGATAATTGATAAACCACAATTCTTGCAGAATCAAGTGGAAAGGATAATAGAAATCAGTGAGATAGTTAAAACAAAATATATATCAAAAACATTCTCAATGTTATCAACCAAAAAATATAAAAAATGGTTGCACAACTCAAAGTGACCTGAACACATCATTGTCGGCTTATGGATACACCTCTCCTAGCCTTGTTTCTAAATTAAAGTCAAATAACACTCACAAAAGTAATGACTTCACGAGCAGAATTCATAGATAAGGTCATGGATAAACCATTCTTGTGAGTTTTGAAATCAAGGGAGAAAGGAAATACACCAGGGCGGTTAATTAGATAAGAAAACATCTATTTATTAAAACCAAAAATAAAATGACTGCTCAGTCGTTGGAGTACCTTACTCTAAACAAAGCGGTAGTGATCAAACTCCAATAGTTTATGGCTTATTGCTCGCATTCGCTGCGGTGCATCAAATTAGGGCACCTACTTAGCTAAAAAGCTAACTCTCACAAATTTTCGATATAAATACCAACCTGGTTAATTAACCCCACAACAATCACACAGTACCCTTAGTGACGATCACATAATACCCTCAATTCTAAAATTATACGCAATATCATCTATTTTATGTAACTCATGTATACTCAAATTAGATCAAAATTTTCTCCTTTTCAAGAAATTATGCAACGATTTGACCTAAATCAGTTATTTCTCGTCACAATAATCATGCAGACTAGGTGTTTGACATAACGGTTGAGAGAAGTGGGAAAAAATACCTGTCTTGCGAACAGAAACTTTACGCTTGTGGGGCTGAGGCTGAGCAGGAGCTTCCTTAGCTTCCCGAGCAGCTCGCTTAGCCAAATTGGTTTGGTGTCGTTTGCCCTGTGTGTGGGCCAAATAATTACCTTCATTGTTGTGCAATGTCAAACACAGCTTACACTCGTAACTACAAACAAAACAAAACCCACAACAGAAATCACATAATTAGTTTAGTTACTTGCATCGAACAAATTAAGCTGGAAATGGATGGAGTGACCTACCTTCCGAGGTGGTTGCGCATGAAATAAGGGTCTTTGGCGAGATCGATAGTTTCCAGCGCCAGCCTGCGGAGGCGCTCGCGACGGTCGATGGCTTCATTCTGGGCAGAGGCCGCGCCACCGCTGCCGGGCTTCGAACCCCACTCTCTGTCCATTTTTATTTAGCTAATAATCGCTCCCTCGACTTCGACGCTATTTATGTAGTTCGGATTTTCAGAAGGCGGTTTGGGATCGAAATAGGCCCGGCCCAGATCCGCCCAATTTGGAATAGATCTTCGGATTGAAGATCAAACATTGAAAAGAAAAACTACTTAAGTTTAGATAATCACTAATAATTTTAATTTAATTAAATTAATTTATTCACTTTAATATAAAGATAAACCATTAAAAAACAAAAAGAATAAAATATTTTATATTTAAAATAGAAGGTGGAGTTAAAGAAGAACATGATGGGACGAAAAATCAAACCCCTAATTTTAATTCAAAAGACATCATAATATAACAGAATTGGGCCCTCATCACCAAACTTATTGGGCCTGCAATTAAACATGACCATTCCCGTACCAATAAAATATCATCCAATTATAGTTGCCGACGCATGCTACCATGCCCCCATTTTAGTCCACAATTAATGTAATTTGTGATTGGAGATGCCATAGCTATCACAGAAGGTGAGATGCTCATTCTTCCTTTGGTTTATTCCCAAAAAAAAGTGGAACAACACAAAATTAACAAAAACCCCTTTTAAGATTTTATACCTTTCAACTACATTTACTCTTATATATTTATCTTTAATGTGAAGGCTAATCTTCAAAAGTGCGGGCCAAATCTCCAAATTAGACTTATTAATTACTAATTAAAGGACCCATTTTGTTATCTCTTTAGAGAAGATACATATGGTGACGGTCCTGATGGCAAGAGCTCATTTGGGGTATTCATAATTATCGTTAAATTTATCTGTACGAAAAATATCTAATAGATAATTATATGAGGTTAGTCTGACGATTAAAAATGTTTTTTCACTTCATTGAGTTTTTTGATCGAACTTTGTGGATACTTATCACATTGTGACTTATCTGATCTTTTGGATTTGTAAGGTATCTAATAGACTTTAGAGATTAGTTAAAGTACGTATAAACTGACTCAGATACTCCGGTTACCAAAAAAAAAAAAAAATATATATATATATATATAACAAGAGGATTGAAAATTTCTCGTGGTATTGTTTGCTTTTTCCTTTGAAGGGACAAGCTCTACAACAAACTAAAGTAAACAGGTCCTACATGGTGATGATATTTATGTGCCAACAGATGCTTCAATATAAAATTTGAATCAATATTGTTTCCCACATGATCATTGTTGTGTCATCATACTGTTAAAACCACGTGGGATCTTTCAGTTGGCCTAAAAAATTGAACCCCGTTTAGAGTTGTTAAAGAGTAGTATGTCCTTAGGACTTTTTTTGGATCACTTGCTTCCCCAACAACTTGGACAAAACTCTCACTAAGTCAATATCTACTTAAGTACTAATTTTTTCATACTTGAAGAACGAAGACTGCTAATTACAGTGAGATTGTTCTAATTTTCTATTAATGAACATGGGCTTTTTTTTTTCTGTTGAGTTTTGTACCTATCTTAATTAATCTTCAAGATACATGGAATACTTTACAAGCACAAAAACCAAGTAAGTCACATATCATTTGGACGATATTATTTTGATAGATGATCCAAAGTTTAAACAGCAAACCTCTTGACCGTCGGCCAACCCCTTGGGGTTGAAGGGGGCATCTTTTAATATCTCGTATAGTAATGGTAAACCATGAGGTAGTGTTGTATAAATTGCATGGAAAAGGAGTTTGGTTTGGGTGAATGAATGAATGAATCAAAGCTTAATTTTGAATTTTGATATGAAGACAGTTGAGTTGGGCATATATAAATGGAGCTGAACGAGAGTTGAGAATGGCCCCTTACCATACATACAGATACAGTCGGAGCGTTTGATGCCACGCGACAAGAACTCATGAAAGTGCGTAGTGTTTGGAAAGTAAAGAATAACGTTGGTGTCAGGTGTTAGCCGTTTTCTTTAGCTTATCTCTCTTGACAAAGCATATACATTGATGCCCACTACTTCTTAACTCACCTTTTTTCTCTCTTTATATACCATTATTTCTTTTTCACTGTACTTTTTGCACAAACAAGAGAACAACAACATCATTTCATTACATTTTCAAGTCTTGATCATCATTAGAAACAACTCTTGTGTTTGAAAGATACAAAAGTTGGGAGCTTTCACTTCTTTCTTACATATTTATAACAATACCTCAACTGGGTGTTTGTTGATTCAATGGGATCCTCTTCAGGTCAAAGCAATAGCTACGATCTTTCTTTTAAGATCTTGTTGATCGGTGATTCAGGTGTTGGTAAAAGCAGCCTTCTTGTCAGCTTCATTTCAAGCTCTGTAGACGATCTTGCACCCACCATTGGTACTAATTTTCCTTGTTGCTTTTGTTCATTTAAGTTTATTATTTTACTTGGTTGCTGAGAAAATATAAGCGAAGAAAATTAAGTATTTGACATTCAGTAGTAGTAATTAAGATAGTTTTAGTTGATTGGAGGGTTGAGTTTTTTTGAGATGTGAATGATAAGGAATTATGAGATTCAATCATACAGTTTCTTAGCTTCCAAACAGAGAGTATTTGTGATCGATCTCTGATAGTGTTGCATTTTTTAGCTCAGCTGGTGAGTGCCACTGTGTGAACTTGAATTAATTGCAAACAATTTTGTAGTTTAAGTTGTGCTGCATTTATGGTTTATTGAATATTTACTTGGTTTATAAATGTATTCCCCGGTAAATGTTTAAGTTTTGATCAATACTCTAACCATATTATTCATAAATGTTGTTAACAAGATGAAAACTCCTTCCCTTCTTTTAATGCCTGTGTTTACTTTTACATGTTACTTGGATTTGATTAATTAAGATATGGTTGTTTCTTTCTTTGGTTTTTTCTTGACTATGTGTAGGTGTCGATTTTAAGATCAAGTTGCTAACAGTCGGTGGGAAGAGATTGAAGCTGACAATTTGGGACACAGGTATGCAATTACAGCAGTCTATTCTTTCATTTTTGCTGTTCCAGTTTAAGAATTAGAATTTGAATATTATTATCTAATTAATGACCCAAGGAATGCAAAGAATGTTTGATGTTCATCACCAGATGTTTGATAACACGTCACTGTCATTGCCATTGCCATCCTTTGAAGCTTAAATGATGCAACAGTCCTAACTGATGTAATATAAGTCCAAAACTTGAGAATATTTGTTCACCAAAAAGGCCCCAGCAATTTCTTAACAACTTCTTTGGTAGATAACACTTGTTTCAGTTAACACTCAGAATCCAAGTAAATCATTTACTTGTATGGTTGAACTATGTTTATAAAGGATATCTAAAGCAAACAGAAAGTCACAATAACCCAACACTTCCACATTGTTTGTTAATGCGTATTTGTTGACACCATTACGCTATCCAGGTCTTATTCCTAGTGTTCTGAGTTTGACTGATCCGGTCCTGATCCATCATTTCTCTATCCGTTAAAAGATTACGTGCCACATTTGCTGATCTTGTTTCATAAAATCACTAGTTTTCCCTTAATAATGTAACTTCGCATTTTATTGACTGCTATTTTTATATGGTTTCTAAGCAAAGATATTGTCTTTTTTTGTTCAGTTTCTGTAATTAGAATGTGGTGTAACTGTTACGTGCAACTAAACTGTTAATCAGCTTAATTAAATTACTATTTGATTTTGCAAACACAATGAGTGGCAAAGATTATCATTGTATCCTGTTCTAATGTTGAAGATAATAGTCTTGCTTGATAAAACTTAACTTAGCTAACAATTTAAGGTTGTGCTTCTATTAGTGTTAGCGGCAATATGTATCCTTTTTTTCCCCCTTAGAATATTTTAAAGGTTGATTTGCACTGTGAGTAATCATATGGCTAATTGCAAAAGCTTATTCCTTCTTGCAGCTGGACAGGAGAGGTTCAGAACATTAACAAGCTCTTATTATAGAGGTGCCCAAGGAATCATTCTTGGTATGTCATCAACAATATATTTTCATGTCATTTAAGCATTAACGAAAAACTTTACTCTGTTGTTGAGTGGATGATACTGATATCAACTTGCCAATCAGTACTCAGTTTTGGCATATAGCACATTCAAATCAAAGGCATTAACACGTCTGATGACAAATGGGGAAATTGGCTTTGATGCAAGGCTGCCTGCCAAGATAAAAACTGTTGACTGACTTAATTACAACGTAGTATACTACCATACATTAATATAAGTTGCTGATAGATTGCTTTTCTGAAATTGTCTTGATTGACTGAGAAGAAATTCCGTTATTTGGTTTAGATTTTGGAAACTGAAAGATATGGATGTTAGTGGGTAAGTAGATGGAATATGGAAATAACATCATCAGAGATTAAATAAATGTTCGTCTATCATTTTGCATTACTGAATGAAACAATTTCATGACTTTATTCAGACAAAGTAGAACTTGTTTTAGCATGCAATAATTCTATTCTATTATTCCAGTGAAGTTTCTTTTACTATACAAGAATATAATTTACTGTACAAGCATCTATATCTTGTCTCTGCATGCTACTCTGGAAAGTTGGATTATGGCATCTGATTCTCTTGTTCAGCCGAATTAGGTTTCATGGAATTTTTCTTTTCTATTATTCAACTAAAGTTACCTTTACTGTGCAAGCATCTGATTCTCGTCTTTGCACGCAATTTTGAATGGGCATATTGCATTGGCTGGCTTATTGACCTGAAATTTATTTGAATTTCACAACTATAAATATATGGTCAATCATGACTCCAATGAATTATCTAGTTACCTGTTTGTTGAATAATCTTCATTTTTTATCATAATATTCTCCATTTTGTAGATAACAAGTACTGACTTTTTTGGCTGTTATTGTAGTTTATGATGTCACAAGGAGAGAAACCTTCACAAACTTATCAGATGTGTGGACTAAGGAAGTGGACCTATACTCAACCAATCAGGATTGTGTCAAGATGCTTGTTGGAAATAAAGTTGACCGAGTAAGTTTTGTGATATCTATTTTGATAAATATCATTGACTTCAAATGCTCAGCCTGAACACACTGTTATAGAATTTCATCAAACATCGACCGGTATTGGTGTGAATCCTTAGATTATCATGTTAAGCATAGTTGTCAAATTGCGTATCGTATCGTGTATCGAAACCTAATTTTTCGAATCGTTTATCACGTATCGTATAGTAGGATACGTCTTTTTCAAAAAAAAAAAAAAAATAATAATAATAATAAAATTTTTCTAAAAATATTTAATATCATTCCTAAAATTAATTAACGAATTTTGTGATATTATTGGCTTTATATTATAGTATTAAATAATCAAAATTAATCAAAAATTAGGAATCTATATCATTTCCTCTCAACCATTTATATTATTTTCAAGATCAATGTCAATATTTATATCTCCACTTATGTTATTATTATCATGCAAAATGTGTTACACATCTTTCTCCATGCAAAATGGATAAATTTGGGAGGGTTTTAGTGAACAAGTTAGGTGACCCAAATCCAACCCGATCATTTCAGCCCGACCTGAAATTTTGTTTGGGCCTTTGACCCAAATTAATAAAGTTATATCGATTTGTATCGATATTTTTAAGGATACATATCGTATAATACATATCAACGTATCAAAAGGTTTAGGATACACTCTCTGATACGTATCTTTGACGACTCGTATTGAATCATATCGTAAGATATATATCGCGTATCGTAAGATACTAATAACTATGATGTTAAGGCCAATGTTAAAAGGGGTTTCTGATGAAATTCCAATTTAGTAAGTTTTTATGTGTTTAGTTAATCACTTGAAAAACACGCCTGAAGTCTTACTATTTCTTCTTCCTTCTTACTCATGGATGATTTACTTCCCCAGTTAATTATGTATTTACTGATAATATGAGGCTTTTAACTTATAGTCTCATTCTTCTATTATTTATATATTTAATTGGGTGTGATTTCAGGATTCTGAAAGGGGTGTAAGTAGAGAAGAGGGGATGAATTTTGCAAAAGAGCACGGGTGTTTGTTTCTTGAATGTAGTGCTAAAACTAGAGAAAATGTGGAGCAATGCTTTGAGGAGCTTGCATTGAAGGTAATGTTTTGATAAAACCTTTATGCATTTTAACTGTGTTCAAATAGATATGGCAATTTCATACACCAGTTGGGTTGGTTGGTTTAATATATTTCATAATCACGGGATGGGATTATGCAATAAACAGGTTCTATTTTTAATGTAGAATTGAATGAGCATATGGAAGTTAAGATTTAAATTGTGAGCATATCCTTTTCCTTTATGTTGTTTTTCTAAATCTTCTGCTAGCAAACACACCAGTAACACTAATTCCATGATAAACGTTTATGTAGAATAATGCATAAAATTCATTTCCTGTTTCGGACTGTTACATAATTATTTTACAGATAATGGAGGTTCCTAGTCTTTTGGAAGAAGGATCCAGTGCAGTGAAGAGAAACATTTTAAAGCAGAAACCAGAATACCAGGCACCTCCCAGTGGTGGTTGTTGCTCATAAGGCATTAATACGAAAGAAAGACTAAAATACCAGCGCCTACTCCGCCTGTTTAAGGCTTATACGGTGCATCCCCTTTAACATTATGAAACAGATCATGTATATGTAATTTCTTCCTTATTATTTCTTAGTGCTGCTGTCGCTTTTTCTGAGTTGCCATAGTCGTACCATTATTCTGGGAAGTTGGCACTCGAATAACATCTATTAGCTTGTGTAAATGTTTGCCTTTTGTTTAATTCCCTTAATGATCCATGTTAGAAAAACAAAAGTGCATGTATTTTATTGATTTTACGTGAGTTTTCTGATTACTGCTATTTGTAATATACTAATACTTGCGGCATATAGTGTTTGGATGGGCACTTTTAACACAAGTTGTCTCTGCTTCTCGGTTGATCAACAGGAACATTTTAAATGTTCAGATAAATCTGTTTTCTTTTTCTATGGTCCTGCTGAAAGACAACCCTCATTGTAGCCGCCACCATAACACAATGCATTTGCTATTTTTACATTTAATCTTCCCTATCCAAATTGTTTCATAAATTTTTGAAGTTGCTGCTTGTGTCACTCTTTTAAAACCTAGATCGGACCGGATGGGCCGATTCAACCAGTTCGACTAGGAATCAGCCTTGACTCCGGTCCGGTTCACTATAAAACCCAGTATATACTTAAAGACTGTTTCGGACCGATAATAGATCGAAGAAATAGTGTCGAACAGCTGGTTGACTCGGGTCCCAGTCAATTGACCGAGTCACCCTCCGGGCCAGGTTTTAAAACAATTTGTGAATGGGAATGAGAAGCCTGCAATCTGGAAGATACTTTACTGATTGAAATCTTAGCTTAACTCTTTTTTTTCAAGCAAATGATTGATAAAACTCAATTTACAATAATCAGAATGACGAATTTATGTTATTGCCACAATGCTACTTAAGGTTTTTGTTCATAAACTATCAAGATGGTTCACATCCCTAACAAGATAACCATATCAATAATATCGTCAATTAGACATGCATTGACTTTAATATTCAACTCTGCTTAAACTCGTTAATTTGCAAGGGATAATTTCAGTGGCTTAAATATGAAGAATGCACCGCGAAATCAAGAACATATTCCGGCGGTCCAACCGCGGTCCAATCTGGTTTAAATGCAATTAACGATTTTTTAAGTATTCCGGACCGGAAATGCCGCTGGTCACCGGTCGAACCGGTTCGATTAGACGGTCTGGTCCGGTTTTCAGAACATTGCCGATAACAGATCGAAGAAATAGTGTCGAACTGTCGGTTGACCTGGGACCCGGTCAGTTGACCGGGTCCCCGGTCAGTTGACCGGGTCACCCTCTGGGCATTATTTGGTAATTTTTTTGGGGTATTTTTGAAATAAATAAAAATTTTAGGGACTAATTTGAACTTTTTTAGGGAAATTTTTGTAATATATTAAAATTGAGGGATTAATATAATTTTTTAAAAATAAAATTGTCGCTGACGTCATCGGTCCAACCGGTTGGACAGATTGACCCGTGACTCGGGCAGCAAAACGAGTTGCCCTCTGGTCCGAGTTTTAAAACAATGCTAATAAGATAACCATATCAATAATACGGTCGTCAATTAGACATGCATTGACTTTAATATTCAACTCTGCTTAAACTTGTTAATTTGCAAGGGATAATGTTAAAGGTGAAGTCAGAACGCTACCGTTTTGTTTGCACCTTTAGTGACCTTTGATTAAAGAATGATCCAATGGCTCTCAATGTGCCACCTGCCCAGCTGTATAAAAAAGGACCTCTCCCTCACGAAAAAAAGACTATCTCTCCCTCATTTTTGCGTTTTTCTTCTCTGTAAGGGTTCTTTGTCTTGTGCCCAACATTCTTCTTGATTGCTGTATTCTGAGTTGTGATCAAGTGATCACATATTGGGGGTTTTAGTTTACTCCCTGTGAAGAAGTGTCTGGTTGTGTATTTCTTTGTGATTAGTCTACAATTGTGTATCAAGAGAGTGTTGTGAGATCTATTGAGAGGAGTTGAATATTGTTTGTATAAACTAAACAAAGGTTAAATCTAGTGCAGAGAGCCCCTCAATTGTGGAGCTCAACGTGGATGTAGACTATCCCTTAAAAGATAGTTGAACCACTGTAAAATTCTTGATTTGTGGTTTGTTTTGTGATTGATTGTGTGTTTAGATTGTTGTTGATGAGTAGATTGATTTAGGATGGGTTTCTAATAGTGGTATCAAAGCCAGATAGTTGATTTTGTTGAATCTTGGAAGTCTAGGGTTTCACGATCTTGAAAGAGTTATTTCGTCCGTAGCTTGGCAATTGTTAAAGAGTTCTTGATCCATCGTTTCCTAACAACCTAGGGGGTTTTCGACCTCTAGGGATTAGCAATCAGAGAGGTTCTTGAATTCTTAGGGTTTGTCAAATTTGGGGCTTTCTTGATCTGTTACAGTTTTTGGTACTCTAGATTAGTTACGTTTCCTAGCCGAGTAGTCAATTGTTAGAATATCAAACAATCTTGGGTAGAACACTAGGGTTTCTTGAAATCTTTCAAAACCAGTACCAATAAAATTTCTCCATGTCTACTACACGCATGAAAATTACCCAATATGATGGGAAAATAGACTTCAACAGTTGGAAGAAGAAAATGAAGGCGTTACTCTCACATAATAATGTTGTTATTGCATTGGAGAAGGATGCAACGAAGTGGCCAGAAGAGAAGCTGAAGAAGAAGGCAGAGATTGACGAGGAAGCACACAACCTCATTATGATGAACCTGTCAGACAATGTCCTCAGAAAGGTAGACGGTATGGACACAGCATTGACGTTATGGGGTAAACTCGAATCTTTCTATGCTTTACAGTCTGCTCCAAACTTAGCTTTCTTAAAGGGTGCTTTATTTACATATAAAATGGAGAGTTCTAAGTCAATAGAGGATAACCTGGATGAATTTTTAAAAATGACCATAATATTGAAAGGGACTGACCAAGAACTAGGAGATACTACACTGGTCATGATTTTGCTTAATTCTTTGACTGATGATTATCAGGTAGTTAAAAATGCCCTGCAATATAGTGGAACTGTTCCTAGTCTTGATTTAATCATTGCTGGGTTAAAAGCTAGGAAGTTAGAATTGAAAGTCCAGAAACGTAATGGGAGTAATCTGTTTGTGAAGGGTAGATCAGATTCAGGTCAATCAGGAAGTAGTGCTCAAAAAGTTACTAATGCTAAGAATAGAAAGAAAGGGAAGGGTTTTAATAAGAACAAGTCTGAAACTAGGAAGTGTTTTCACTGTAACAAGTTAGGACACCTAAAGAAGAACTGTTATGATTGGATTAGAAAACATAAGCAAGTTAACACTGAAAGTAACCTAGCTTCTAATAGTGGCAGCATAAATGAAACTGAAGTTCTCACTGTATCCAAAACTGATCAGGTTCATGAGTGGGTTCTAGACTCAGGATGTTCATTCCATATGGGCCCTAATAAATAGTGGTTCCAAAATTTTGAAACTGATGAACATGAAATAGTATATGTGGGGAATAATAATGCATGTAGAGTTTTGGGGGTGGGCAGTATAACTATAAAATTAAATGATGGTAGGTTGGTAATGCTAACTAGGGTTAGATACATCCCTAAACTCAAACGAAACCTAATCTCCCTAGGTACCCTAAATGAATCTGGCTATTGCTATAGGGCTGAAAATAGTTGTTTGAATATTTATAAAAATAACAGAATAGTCTTAAAAGGTATAAAAAGGAATGGCATGTATAAACTATGTAGACAGCACTGCGCTGAGAACCCTAACACTACACTTGTTTCTACAAAACCTGTAACTCAAAAGTGGATCTAAGGATGGGCCACATGGCCAAAAGGGAATGAACATCCTCTGGCAACAGGGGTTGTTTGGTAAAGATAACATAACCAACATTGACTTTTGTGAAAACTGTGTTCTGGGTAAACAACATAGGGTGAACTTCACCAAAGGGACTCACCTAGCTACCAACTGCTTAGAATATCTACACGTTGATCTGTGCAGACCTGAAAAGGTCAAATCACATGGGGGAAATAGCCATTTTCTTTCAATTGTAGATGATTACAGTAGAAAGATTTGGGTTTATCTACTTAAAACCAAGGATAGGCCCTAGTTAAGTTTAAGAGCTGGAAATTGTTAGTAGAAAACCAAACAGATAGGAAGGTCAAAGCCCTTAGGACTGACAATGGCCTGGAATTCTGTAACACTGAGTTTGATAAATTTTGCACTGATCAGTGTATTTTGAGGCATAGAACTGTAAGTAAAACCCCTCAACAAAATGGAGTTGCTGAGAGGATGACTAGAACTTTACTAGAGAAGGTGAGGTGCCTTTTGTTCACTTTAGGGTTACCAAAAACATTTTGGGGAGAAGCTTTAGCCACAACAGCTTACCTAGTAAATAGAAGCCCTTCTAGTGCCATAGAGTTCATGTGTCCTAAGGAGAAATGGTCAGAAAGGAAGCCAAACTTGGATCACTTAAGAATATTTGGGTGTGCAGCATATGCACACACAGTTGAAGGGAAGTTAGAACCTAGATCAATTAGGTGTGTCTTCTTAGGATACCAAGAGGGGACAAAGGGCTACAGGCTGTGGGATAGAGAATCCCCAGTGGTAAAAGTAATTGTGAGCAGGGATGTGCTGTTCAATGAAATGGTATTCCCTTGTAGATCCACTAATATTGATGCAGGTACAATGAGCAATATCAATCAACATTCCACTCAACCAGGGACTACACAGATTGAGGTGGAGTCATCAAGACATTACCTTGAGCTGCTCCACCCTGATGAAGAACCTGATCAAGCCACTGCCCAACCTGTTCAACCTGATCAAGCAACTAAAGAAGAAGAAGGGGAGGCTGAAGAACCGCAACCAGGAGACCTGTCCCAATATAAATTGGCAAGGGACAAGACTAGGAGAGAGGTAAGGCCACTTGCTAGGTACTCTTATGCAGATTTAATTTACACTGCTCTTCTTGCAGGTACAGAAGTACAGAAGACAGAACCAGAGACTTATGAAGAGGCAATGAGGTCCAAAGAGAAAGAAAAGTGGCTGGCAGCAATGAATGAGGAAATGGAATCCTTAAAGGTGAATGGCACGTGGTCTTTGGTCCCCAAACCCAAAGATAAAAAATTAGTAGAGTGCAAATGGCTCTTCAAAGTGAAAGAAGGTATGACTCCCTCTGAACCCTTAAGATATAAGGCTCGTTTAGTTGCTAAGGGGTATGCACAAAGCGAAGGGGTAGATTTCAATGAGATTTTTTCACACGTGGTTAAGTTTAAAACCATCAGGATAATGTTATCCATAATAGCTCACCAGACCTAGAATTAGAACAACTAGATGTGAAAACTGCATTCTTACATGGTGAGTTAGAAGAAAAAATATTTATGAGACAATCCACTGGTTTCATAGATAAACAACTGCCTAATCATGTTTGTATGTTGCATAAGTCTTTGTATGGCCTCAAACAATCACCTAGGCAGTGGTATAAGAGGTTTGACTCATTTGTGTTGAGTATTGGGTTCTCTAGGAGCAAATACAATAGTTGTTTTTATTTTGCCTTCATTGATAAAATGCCTATATACATGCTGCTATATGTGGATGATATGCTTTTAATAAGTAAATCTGCATCAAAGAGCTGAGTTGAAATCAAAACTAAATTCAGAATTTGCTATGAAAGATTTAGGGTGTGCTAAGAAGATCCTAGGGATGGTTATTGAAAGGAATAGAAAAAAAACCATGAATTAAGGATCCAGCAGTGTTCTTACCTACAAAAACTAGTCCTGAAATTTGGAATGTCAAATTCTAAACCTGTGAATCTACCACTAGCAAGCCACTTCACCCTAAGCAAGTTACAATGTCCCAAATCTGACTCTGAGCTAATTAAAATGGAAAATGTGCCTTACTCTAACACAATAGGGTCTATAATGTATGCTATGATAAGCACAAGACCAGATCTTTCTTTTGCTATTTCATTACTCAGTCGTTTTATGGCTAACTCTGGAATGAAACATTGGAATGCAATGAAATGGTTGCTTAGATATATTAATGGCTCTTTGCATGTGGGATTGAATTATTGTAAAAGAAACTCTACACTTGATTTGGTTGGCTTTGTAGATTCTGATTTTGCAAGGGATAGGGACACAAGGAAGTCTACAACTTCCTACTATTTTACCTTAGGAGGTAATTGTGTTAGTTGGAAGTCACAACTACAACCATTGGTAGCCTTGTCAACCACGGAGGCAGAATATGTGGCTATGACGGATGTGTTCAAGGAAGCTTTATGGCTGCAAGGAATTTTGAAGGAGGCAAGTCTACTGGACAGTATGGCAGTCATTTATTCAGATAGTCAAAGTGCCATACACTTAAGCAAAAATCCAGTCGATCATGAGAGAACCAAACATGTTGATGTTAGGTTACATTTCGTCAGAGACTTAATTGCAAAGGGCATGATAGAACTAAGGAAGATTTCAACTGAAGACAACCCTGTAGACATGGGAACAAAAGTGGTTACTGTAGCAAAATTCAAGCATTGCTTGAATTTGCTACACATTGGGTGAAAGGGTTGGAAAAGCTAAGAAGCAATTGTTGGAAGGTTCTCTGCACTGGAATGGGTTGATGTGTTATTGCTAAAGATTGACTTCAAGGTGGAGATTGTTAAAGGTGAAGTCAGAATGCTGCCGTTTTGCTTGCACCTTTAGTGACCTTTGATTAAAGAATGATCCAATGGCTCTCAATGTGCCACCTGCCCAGCTGTATAAAAAAGGACCTCTCCCTCACGAAAAAAAGACTGACTCTCTCTCATTTTTGCATTTTTCTTCTCTGTAAGGGTTCTTTGTCTTGTGCCCAACATTCTCCTTGATTGCTGTATTCTGAGTTGTGATCAAGTGATCACATATTGGGGGTTTTAGTTTACTCCCTGTGAAAAAGTGTCAAGTTGAGTATTTCTTTGTGATTAGTCTACAGTTGTGTATCAAGAGAGTGTTGTGAGATCTACTGAGAGGAGTTGAATGTTGTTTGTATAAACTGAACAAAGGGTAAATCTAGCGTAGAGAGCCCCTCAATTGTGAAGCTCAATGTGGATGTAGACTATCCCTTAAAGGATAGTTGAACCACGGTAAAAATCTTACTTTGTGGTTTGTTTTGTGATTGATTGTGTGTTTAGATTCTTGTTGATGAGTAGATTGATTTAGGCTGGGTTTCTAACAGATAGTTTCAGTGGCTTAAATATGAAGAATGCACCGCGAAATCAAGAACATTTACAGATTGTAAGCAATGAACCACAATGGCTTGCTCAGAAATCTTTGAAGATCCACATTTAATGCTACTGAATCAGTGTATTCTGGGTCTGTCTATTGATTCTTAAATCTGCTTCTCCTATTGGGATTGAAAAATTACAAACGAGGCCTAAGCACTTGGAAAACCTGCATTTTAGAACATTTTACTTGAGAGTATACAAATTAGAATATCAACACCAAAATCTTGGAAGAAGATAATGTCCAAAGTATTCGTATCCAAAGTTCCAAGCCAAGTGATGCAGAAAGATCCAAACAACTTAAAGAACAAATAAATGTAATAACCATCAGTCTTTGAACATGGCACAACAATAAAGTAATATTTTGCTTAAGGATCATGACCTACTCATAAATTATGAAGACAAACAACAACACCCAAATAAAAATCATTATAAAGCTATGCAGGCTGCAGGTCAGAAATATAAATCTTGTAAAGCATTTAAAACATTTTCTCCCCATAGTTTTTGGGAGAAATTACAATATCATGCAGATGATTCTACATATTTGCGTCCCTCGGCAAACTGGAAATTACCACCCACAATTGGACTATAACACATGCAAGAGGAACACAAACAACATCGGCCTTCTTTCACTTTAAGAACCACAGCATACTGATTTCTCTGGAGCAGCTGCTGAACCCTTGGCAGCGTCTGGTTTACTGATCTTGATAGTTTGAGGCTGCATGACAATGTCAAATGCATGAAACATCAGTTTAAAATATTAAATCAATCATCATACTCATATGAAAGTTGAGTAAAGAAAATACATACTTCTGCTTTTGAGTCAGTCTCTGCAAGTCTTTGCTTTATATCTCTTGCAATTGAAAAGAAAACCTGCTCCACATTGAAATTTGTTTTTGCACTCTGCACAAGTATCTCAGCACTATCAGAGACTATATAATTTGATAGCTTTCAAATCTCTGCTAGCTAGCTCCCCCCTGGGGTTTATAATCACCACTAAATTTTGTAACATACCGTCTCAAAAAATTTGATACCATATTCATCAGCTAGTGCTTGGCCCTTTGCAGTTGGGACAGCCTACAAAAAGAGTTAAATAAAATAAAGGGTACTTTCCGTTAGGTCTAGAAAAGAAGCTCAAGCTAATTTTATACAAGTGTTTTAACTCATTACCCTTTTGCTCTCATCCATGTCGGCTTTGTTACCCACCAATATTTTGTTGACATTATCAGCAGCATGTTGCTCTATGTTTCTCATCCAGTTCCTGATGTCTGCATAATATTTTGATTAAAGGTTAAGAGAAACATCAAAATTTTGGTTTCCACTATCTTTCAGTAATTTAGCTCACTGAAGAAATGGGGTGAACGAAAAAGGCATGAGTACGATATGCCAAATATGTAGAAACAAGACATGAAGAGAAAGATAAAGGCATACTATTAAAAGATGACTCATCTGTCACATCATAGACCAGCAATATGCCCATGGCTCCTCTGTAATAAGCTACACAAGAAAAAGTTAAGAAAGGTCAAACAATTTGAACAAACAAAAGGAAATGGACATTTAAGAACATCCCGATTCTCAATAACCAAATCAAACATTGAACCGATGTAATAACATGGAAATAGAGTGAGAACCATTAATGTCGTCTCCAAAGGGAGGCCAGGCAAAATTTAAGAAACTTGGAAACGCATACAATCAGATTAGCTATTTCAGAACAAAGAGCAACATTTTTGGCATTCAACAAGCACCCAATTACCAAACCTTTAAGAATACTATGACAAGTAGGAACCTGTTGTAATTGTTCGAAAACGTTCTTGTCCAGCAGTATCCCATATTTGTAATTTAATGCGCTTCCCGTCTAGCTCAATGGTCCTAATCTTAAAATCAATCCTGAAAAGGGCATTAAAAGTTCAGGAGAATGCACAAAAACCATTGACTACTAATAGTACAAGATTTAAGGAGTTAAGAGCAAACCCAATTGTGGTAATGAAACTCGTTGTAAAAGAATCATCTGAGAAACGCAATAGCAGGCAACTTTTTCCCACCCCTGCACATATACGTTAAAGTAAGCATAGAATAGGGCTCATAACTACCGCTTCCCTTGTGGTCGGATGGCAAGCCCTTTAGCCACTGGGGTTAGCTATACCCAGGGGTCTTATATTCGAGTCGCCGGAGAGGCAATTACCGGGTTTACCCCAACAAAAAAAAGGGCTCATAACTTGAAATACATATGTTTACTAAGACACATCAAACATTTACGATCAACTGTATAATAAAAAAACCAAAAAACTTGATCTATTAATTCAAACAGTCGATACGGAACATTAAAACTGCTAGACAAACAATAACTAAAAGCTTGAGCTGATAATTGCAGAAGCTTAGAGTGTAAGTAGCCATGTCACAGGATTAACTTAAACAAATGTTTGAAACTCTAATACTTCCCTGCTTTGCATGCCAAAGGAATAATAGGCGTAGCATGTAGAACCAAATACAGGAAATTAAGAACGAAACGTGCCTGAAAATACATGGCTGTAGTAATAGGTAACCAAACTAGATACAAAATGAAGTTACTTAAATTCAAACCAGAGGCCCGATCATAGCACAAGTAGTCATCTCATGCCATGAACTTAATCAAACGAGATATTCTAACAAAAGCTACATATATCGATGATCACTAGTAAAATAAAATCAACCTCGACAAACTCTAATGAATGTTTAAAAAGCTGAAAGTACAAGAACCAAACAAATTCAAAAAGGCACTTGAAGATTTGGAAGTACTTCTTAAAGACGCTTTATAAGTGCAGTTTCAGAAAGCAATTTTAAGATTGAAAAAACTATTCAAGTGTTAACTCACAAAAGTAGTTTTTCAAAAAGCACATTCAAGTGCTTTTTGCTGAAAGCTCACACCCAAATAACACCAGTAACCGAAAAAACTCAAGGAGTTGAGCTTAAAATTTTTACATTAGAAAAAAAAAAAAAAAAAAAGTAATAATAAACTCTCAATTATTATGATAAGCACAAAAAAGCCTTCAAAGTTATGCAAATTAAGCCATTCAAGCCACCAAACAAACAAATGATTGGATCACAAAACAGCGAACAAACACCTCTAATCAGATTTACACATTTTCAATCAAATAAACGAGCAAAAGCCCGCAGTTTCAGTCAACTGAGTAACTATCACTAAAGCTTAAATTAAATTCAACATAAACAAAGAGAAAAGATACTTGCCACTGTCACCGATGAGAAGGAGCTTAATCAGGTAATCATAATCGGCGCGAGCTCTAGCCGGCGCAGCCGCCATTTCTCTTGAAGCTTTCTCCGATAAACAAGAAACAGGTCTCTCTGTTTACTTTCAGATCTGCAGCTTTAGAGCCTTCTGGTCTCGTATTAGATCAAGAAGGCTGGCTGGCTGGGCGAGCTGGCTCGAGAGAGGGAGGAGTCGAGCAACAAATGCTTTGCCTTTAACCTCACAAGTAACCAGAGTTAAGTACTGTATTTGGTTTTGGTGGGGCAGGAATCTAGTGTCTTTGGGTGTAACGAAGAACCAGTTGTTCGGATGACGTGGCTGTATGGTGATAAATGGTTGGCCTGTTTGTGAGAGTGTTAACGGAATGATTGGTTGGTTTATTGAATGATAATGATTTGGTAATTATATGATCAATTAATTATTATTATCATAATTAGAGTGGTCTTGCTGGGTCAACGCAAGTAATTACTAATTACTAATTACTTGCTTTAATTTTCCTAATTCTGGTCTTAATATCGATAATGAGTTCTACATTAAAACCATTAACAAATAAAAACGGAGTATTTTGGTATATATTAATTAAAGAAAACACATTTTTTTTATAAATTAATGCTATTAATTTTTTTTTTTCTAATGATTTTAACATATCATAAAACAGTTGTAATTATGTAAGACAACTAATCAAAATTAATTACCTCGCGGTGACTAAATGGTTTGAAAAAGATTCTTGAGTATTGTTGATGCTTGATTTTTTACACCAACTATTCGCATGTGCAAAGTGCTAAACTGACTTAGAAATTACACGTGAATGAGAAATGAAATAAATAAATGGGAGATGATTTTTAAAGTAGTTTGGATGCTCAAAATGAATCCTATGTCCACTTCCTTTTTATAAATGAGAGATTATAATCAGGTCGCATATAGCGATCAGAGAGTAGAAATATAGAGAGGGAGAGTGAGTGTTTTTTGTTATCGGAATCCCGAAAATTAGAGGGGAGCCCTCTATTTATAGTACGAGATTTTTGGGTAATAATTACAAATCTGTAAGTGGACAGGTGTCGTACAGTTCCTACCCTGCTTTCTATTAGCTAATTGTACAGGAGATATCCTTAAATTGCGCAGGGCTTGGGCAGGTGGACGACTCTCAGCCACTCATAAACCAAATCTTTACCTGCCAAGTTGATGACAGCCTTACTCCTTCCGTCCTTGGACGACACAAAGCCTTCTTGAAATCTTATTGGTCTTTGTTGACGTAAGCCTACATCGGCCCTGATTTCTTAGGCATAACAGAAGCCCCCCAGTTCTTAAGGTTCAATGTTTGAACTTTGAAAACTTCATGATTATGCCATGATTTGACTAGTCTTGAGGAACGCTTGTTCGAATTGCGAATGGCAAACGGCTGAAATAACATAAAGTTCACGGTCTAACTCGACCAGCGAACTGAGTGGAGGTCGCGATGTGGACCTTTGAGAATTGCACGAGCGACCTGAGGTGATCATCCCCTAAAGGTCCAACGACCTAGGTTGGATTCTGCTTAGTGCTATACCAACTTGCTTTGAACTTTATCCATCACTCGCAACCTGAAAATACTTAGGATATTTTCCGTCGAAAACTGGGAATCACTTCGCTTTGAGCTCAATACACGGAGATGAATGTTTCATTCAAACGACCTCTTCAGATGTTTTCCGTTGCGCTTGACAGCTGACCTGGTCAATAAAGTAAGTTTTATCTGACAGACGTGTCTTTACGCAATAAGTGTTAATCATGAGCATTAAATGCAAGTCATGTTGAAACGACATTCTCTTTTAAAGCATTAAATGCAGATGAGGGCGCATTTAATGTGGAGGAGATAACCACGCCGACGTTTGGTGTCTCCAATGGAGGGAAACGTTGATTGATCTCCACAAAGCGTGAAGGTTACTCTTCATGAGGACTGGTGACACGTGGTCGCATCCAACGGCTAGGAACGTGTCCCGCCCAAGCGTCGCTTGCAAAGGAAGCCAAACGTCGCCTTTTTCCCTATAAAACCCTAAGCCGACTTCAAGCTTTTCACAGAACTCGAATCTTTAGAGAGAAAAACAGAGTTTTTGCACTCAAGAAATCAGTTCATCCTTCTTCCAGTTGATGGGCACTCGCCGTTACAACAGAACGTTCGTCCCTAGCAACCAAGAGGTAAAAAAAACTCTTGCTTTTTTTTTTTTTTTAATTATTTCTATTAAAAACTCAGTTTTTTACAGCAATGGTGGGTATGAATGTCTGGTAAACTTACACGATGCACATTCTTGGATAGTAAAAAGGAACACTCTTAAGAGTTAAAAACCTAGGGCATAGATCCTTGGGAACCCATTCTCAAGGATGTTTAGGGTTTTTAGGGGTTAAGGAAGGGAAACTAGGGTTTCTTTTACTTTTTCAAGTCGTCGTACGAAACACTGTGTACGGAGACTAAGTCACCTCTACGTGTTGCACTTTTTCAAGCTTTAGGAGCAATGGACGCTTTAGAGATGAGGGCAGCCGAAGGGACAAGCTCACAGCCCCCGAGCACCTCGGCAGGTCCCGAACAGGCGGTACTATCAGCAGCCACTACAAACGAAATTCAAAAGGTGGTAGATCAGTTTGCGATCAATGTAAACGTCTACCAGCACAGTTCGCACACCGCTCAGGACCCTCCAAAGGGAATGACTGCAATCTCAGAAGCAATTTTCAAATGCGGGGTGATGATACCCTTTCACCCCTTCATCAGGTCAATCCTCGATCACTTCGAGGTCGTGCCATTTCAACTAATGCCTAATGCGTATATAATGGCAATTGTTATATATATCGCATGCCGCAAACACAGACTTGGTGAGTTAACAGTGTTGGAACTTGCATGCGCTTACTTTCTAAAGAAAAGCAAGGACAAGGATTCTTTTTACCTCTCAAAGCGATCTACGATCGAGGGAGGGATATTTGGTTACCTCAGCAATGTTGGGGCTTACGACACCAAATATTTCTTCTTCGAGTACGATGCCGTTTGTAAATTTAGGGAGCCAAGTAGGTTCTTCCCTTTTAATTTCCAAACTAACTATCATTTCCTTTAACTCTCCTTTGATAATTAAGACTAATGTAATTTTTGCTTTTTCGTAGAGAACAAAACGATCAGGTTGTCGGCTCTGGTGGATTTCAACCACATCAAGGCGTTTGATCGTTTACCTTATCAAAGTCATGACGCAAGACTACTCGTGACCATTGCCAACCTACGGAAGTATGGTTTTTTCAATCCCGAGGCATTTGGAAGCTCTAGCTCGTAAGTATCTTCATATCCAGAAGAACTTTTTTAGACTTGTACCAAAGATGACTTTTTCGCTAACACATTTTCATGGCGTGCAGCGACCATGCCACCAAGGGTTCCAAAGCCACCGACGAAGGCTGGGGGATTTGTGTTCCCCCAGGTCAACCCGACTGAGCCAGCCGAAGTGACCCCCGGTGCCATCCCAACAGGAGGGATACAGATTAGTGCCGAAGGGCAACCATCCACGAAGTAACGCGAAGAAGCTCCCCAACCCGTGGTTGCTCGTGCCACGAAACAGAAAACCATGGGCCAGAAGTCCAGGAAAAGGAAACAACTTACCACCGAGGAGGAAACAGAGTCGAAGCGAAAGGGCATTGGGGTGCTGCTATAAAGAACTCAGCCCTATTACGTCATTCGCTCAGGAATACCCCCGAGGGGTGCCCCCAGCACTTCGGCGGCCCCTAGGAGCTCGCGTAAGGGAGAGGGAGTGGCCACGGCTACTCAGAGGAGAGTGGGCAAGCAACGGGTCGCAGATGTACTTGCCCCCTCAAGGCTAGACCCGTTTATGTTGGATTCTCTAGGACAACTGCCAGAGCACTTGCAGCCGATAATATATACCCTGTTGGACTGCCAACTTACGGCGGCCTTTGAGCAGTTCATGGCTTCCCGACCTACTAATCTGGTGGCCACCGCGCTCCAGCTTCATAGTTAGGTAAAGCAACATGTTCTCTTCAAGAACTTTCTAATATTAGCCGATTTCTCAGCTGTTTTAAGATCTTTAGAAAAGGAAACTAACTTTTGTCTCTTTTCTCATGCAATCCCTGCTCGCCCTGACTATAGCTCAACAGAAGATTAATATGGACTCTACTGACATACTTCATGAGCTGAAGAAGGAGAATGCCAAGCTAAAACAAGATCTCGCAGCCGTAGATGCAGAGGTAAGAGCGGTTCGCATCCAGGCGGATCAGTACCTGGCAAAAAGAGATTCTGCTATTCGGGCTACGAACTTTCAAAAGGTTGAGCTCAAAAAGAGAGACGGGGACAACAAGGAGCTCCAACGGACGATGGCGAGGCTCACCAAAGAGTTGAGCGAGAGAGAAAATGAGTTGAGGGTGAGCACCGATCACACAAAGGCGGCGGAGGAGAATCAAGCTCAGCTATGGAAGAACTCTAAAAAACAAAAGAGGGCGATGGAGGGGGACCTCGAGTTGCTTCAGAGGCGAGTCACTTTTTTGACCGAGCAGATGAAGTAACAAAGCCTTAAGCTTCAGAGGAAATCTACTCATTGGGCAATACAAGCTATTTATAGCTTGCGATCGAGGAATCTGGAAATGGACATCTCCGACCTCCCGGACGAATATTAGTCCATTCTTGTTTCCATGCTCTAGGCTAAAAAGGTTGAGCAGTAGAAGGAATATGAACCTCCTCCGGAAGATGATCAGCCGGAAGCAAACATTCCCGAAGATCGAGCGGATGATCCGGAGGTTGATGATCATCCAGAGGATCGGGAGGTTGCACCCGGGGGGCCTGGAAATGAAGACCAATGATCGATTTCTTTTCTGTTCTTGTAGTTTTTCCAGCTTAACTTTTGTAGCTCTTTGTTGTCTTTTGTACACATTTGCCCAATATATGAAAGAAACTTTTGGCCACCTGCGATAGTACTTTTATAACTTAAGCACTTCACAAAAAAAATATAACTTATCTAACCATTGAACTTGTAAAGTGTTATAAAGAACAAGATTATTAAAAAAGACTTGAGATCACAACATAAGTTTCTCTTCGAGAAGAAGTGGAATAATCTTATTCATAATACTTACAAGAATGAAAACTTTACAAGTAAAAAGGAAATGATCAAAGCTATAAATGAGTTCGAAATTACTGATAATAAGGGCAAAGATGTTCAGTATTCCAAGCCCGCGGCATTTCAGAACCGTTAAGCCTTTTGAGGTGGTATGTTC